TCTGTAAATCACCGCCCTAAGATAAAACCGTCATTTAAATTATTGACTCTTTTCATTCATTTGAAATCAATGATATTGAATGCTTCTACTTATTTAATAACATATGAAAATTATATAAAAATATAATATAAAAATGTTGTGTCTCTAAATCACCGTGCTAGGATAAAACTGTCCTTTAATAATTTGCTAGCTTGGCAGCCAAGCAATCTGAGTTGTAATCGTACTCTCATGCAGAAAATGAATATGGATGGAAATTTCGTTAATCCAATTCTAACATGTTAGCATCTAAGTATGCATTTGTTCGTCCATAGTTTTCAACAATTTCGCTGTTTAATAAATTAAAATTAATATCCTTATTTTCATCTTCTTTTTTTAAACTTACGTTTTGATCAACAAGACTTTCACAATTCAATCGACTACAATTCAATCGACTAGGTTCAGGAAGTCGTTAATATGACCGATTTACAAATAAAACAAGTCGAGCAGGTTCAGCTTTGAATTTAATTAGTTTGGAAAAATCAGTCAAAACATTTCCCTTGGAAGAAGGTTGGTTTATTCATGCTCTCCCTGTTTACATTTTCAAAGTCTAATCGTAGCCGTGATGAAGAGTCAAACTTCTTGTCTGACTTAGTATTTACTTATATATAATTTCTACGTATATTATTTATATAAAATATTAATTATTTATATTTAATCTTAACCTTAACCTTGATGTAAGGTTAAGGTCTAATCTTAACCAGTTAACCTCGATGAAGAGTCAAACTTCATGCTTTCCTCGAAAGAAGAGACGGTGTAAGAAAGAATACATATGAATTAGTATTTATTTATGTATAATTTTTATGTGTATTATTTATATAAAATTTTAATTATTTATTTTTTTATTATATATTATTAAAGTTTATATAACCCCTGTACATATACATGTTAGTGTAGTACAAACCATCATATAAATATATGAGATTAGTGTATATAAATCATAATTTTAAAAAAATTAGAGTTATAACTTTATTTAATTTAAAATTCAAAAATCTATTTTATTAAATATTAATTTTTATATTTAGAAATTGAAAACTCAATTTAAAATTTAAAAATTTATTTTATTAAATATTAATATATAAATTCGAAAACTAATTATATTAAAATATATAATTAATTTCCAAATTCAAGTATCCATGTTGTTAAGATTTAATCAATGTTGTTAGTTCACCAATTTCTAAAGTTTATGAAA